CTTTAACCATTGATGACTCATCCCACACTCAGAAACATTTCACCTTTTTCCCTCGTATGGACATCCTGCCCACAGCACAAGAATCATCTTTAATCGTTTTTTGATTCTGCACACAGCCTTTACCTTGTGTCACCTTTATACGTTATTGGTCTGCATATGAAAAAAAGTTGCCTGATTCAAAAAGACATTGTGCTTTATGATTAAGAGTCTAACATTCAAACTCTCCACTGGTTCCTGAGAAAAATATCCATCTTTTAGGCTGCTGATGACCACTGTTTCTAAACCACCTGTACGCTGAAGTCAGAGCAGCGAAGAGGACAGGGAGACAAAGTTGTAGACTTAAAAAAAAATCAGCAGCAGCCTAAAAGATGGATATTTTCTCAGGAACCAGTGGAGAGATATTCTGTTAATGTAGGCCCACATTAACAGATATTCTGTTATTTATTGGAGTTCAGACACAATCCGCAGCAAGCAGCTGTACATTTACATTTTTAAAACGGAGCCTGGAGAAGCTTCAGTTTTGATGAATGTACGGACAGCGGACCTTATCGCCCCCCTCCTCTCTCTCTCTCTCTCTCTCTCTCTCTCTCTCTCTCTCTCTCTGTATCTCTGAAGCTGATGTGATTCTGCTCTCTTTTGCTGTCTTAATACTCCGCAGGAGTCAAGAGGGATTTTTTTTTAAAAGGCAGTTTTGCTATGTTGAACGCAGAGACTTATAATACAGCGCGCTCTGTTTGCACGGAGCCTCTCTCTCTCTCTCCCGCTACATCTCGCTCTCTCAGGCACGCAGCAATTTTATGAATCAATGAAAAATTAAATGAGAACAGGTCAGAAATGTACTTGGGCCCAGGTATTGTCTATTAGTGGGAAACACTGGAGACTAAATATTTCCAAACAGGTGTTGGTATAAAGTTGTCATTTTATTGTTCTGCACTTTTGTGTGTGCAAGTTCTAACACGAGCCCTTAGTAGGCCTACAGCGTGGCTGCCAGCAGTCAATAATAAATAATATTCTTTTTATGAATTAATTTGCCTCTTGCATGAAATGTGTGTTGAAATAGGCCTACAGTGTATTTTAAACGTCTAATAATGGTGGTACTTGGAGAGCCAAATATTTTGGAGGTGTACGCAGTCTAAAAAGTTTGAGAACCACTGATTTAGAAGACTTGTTTGAAATGAGCAGGTTGGTCAAAGCAGTGAAAATGGCACAAACAGTAAATGCATCTAAAAACCAGAGCTCTCTAGAGTATAAATATGTGTATGTGTTGTTTTAACACTGATTGATGCGTTTTTTTTCTGTTTTTTTTGTTGTGTTGACTTTGTCCAAGTCTTTTTCAGTAAATGTGAAATGGTGATCAGATTTGTGCACGAGCAGCGTCACAGTCGGTCTGTTTGTTGTCCATATGTCAGGATGCCGCAGCTCAGTGGGAGGCATCGGAAGAAAAAGAGGAAACGAGATCTTTACGCTTGTTGGCGCTGCCCTTTCTCTCGTCTTGTTGACAAATTGCGTCTGACATTTGAGTGGTGTGTGTGTGTTGTGTGTGTGTGTGTGTGTGTGTGTGTGTGTGAGAGGGAGAGAGAGGTTTAAGCCTCCAGACATCCAGCAGTGATTCTTCCAGCTGATGACTCCGTCTCTTCCTCCTCTCGTCTGTTGCTCATCACCTGCTCTGTTTTCATCTTCGGCTTCTGTTGTTTCTTCGTTTTGTGTCGGCTTGACGGTCAAAATCAAAATGAATGTGTGTCATTATCTGCAGCTCAGTCGGTAGCTTGCATGTCTTAAAACACGTTTCAGGAAGAAGAAAAAAACACACCTGCATTTTCTAAGAAATCAGTTGTGTTTTGGTAAAATTGCCCTTGAAATTATAGAATTAATGAAATTAGCATATGCAACGATTGAATTAACTAAACTACAACTGGTTTAGGTTGAGAGAAAGGTTCGCAATTAACATAAAGGGAATTATATTGACTGAAACACATTCTGAACAATATCTTACTGGGATAATGACTGAGGATGATATTTTCCAATTGATCGTGTCACCACATTTCTGAAGTGTTGTGTTCTTTACCAAGTGGCAACATCCCATGTTGAAAAATTAACTTAGGTTATGGACCAATGTTAGGAATTTGGTCTTGTAGCTGGGGCATCAGACCCCTGACTGCTCGGGGCGCTCTTGTATGTGCAGCCTCTCACTCTCCATTAGTGCATGAGTGTGGAGCATCTTCAGCAACAGAGTGAAAAAATGAATATATCTCCTCTCGGATTATTAAAGTACATCTTCTTCTTCCTAAAAAGAAATTGTTAAAAACCGCCGAGTGTCTAAAATGAACCTTGCGGGACGCCTCAGACATCACTCAAGGTAGAGGAGGAGTAGTTACCTCTGGTGACCACAAAGGTTCGTTCCAAAAGGTAAGGTAAGAGTCCTTGATACCCTCCCTATTATTAAGACGGCAAAAGCTGCGCTAAGATCTCGAAGAATTCAGACTGCGCCCTCCCCTCTATCTGCAGCTAAAAGTAGGTCGTTAGTTACCTTGAGGAGGGCTGTCTCAGTGCCGGATTCAAATTTCTCAAAGAGCTCGTTTTCAGACGTAAAAGGAATCGACAGCCGAATATCTATTTCATCCAGGATCTAAAACTTCTTCATTAATTGGTGTGCATTGTCAGGAATTGAAGGATACACTGCAGCCAATAGGATTAGAGTATTCACCGTGACCATGGCGAACTTCAGGTGATTTTGGTCCTTTAGGCCGCTCATCGACTCCTGATAATGGACACCTTGTCAAACACGTGTCAATGCACTTAAAAAGGACTTCTCCTTTGCATACCTTTACTAAGTATTCACATCTTTTTTTATTCTCATTTTGCAGGTTCACATCGGCTACCTCCCAAACAAGAGAGTTCTGGGCCTCAGCAAGCTGGCCAGGTGGGTTCATTTCCTCTGACTTTGTGTGCGTGTGTGTGTGTGTGTGTGTGTGTGTGTGTGTGTGTGTGCTTCCTCTCTCTCCGCTGTGTTTAATTGGACAACTTAAAGTGGACGTTTGTGTGTCTGTGTGTGAGCAGGTGTGCATTTAAGCTGATTATTAAAAGGTGTCTGATCCCGCTGACCCCAATACTTTCAGGCTTATCACTCTAACACCTCGGACTTTCTCTGGACACACACACGCTAACACTGAGACGAAAAACAGCGGATCCATTCATGTTTTTAGGACAATAACTAAACTCTGTGCCCGGTGGGAAATGTTAGGATTTGCCACAAACCGGCATGAATAAAAAAACTCTGAATAGTTTGTTTCTCTACAGGTCGATTTGAGCGACAGCAAAGTCTTTAAAAAAAGAAACTGTGCTTCAATAACGCTAAAAATATGATCGTAAAATGGCAAAACTGACGGAAAGGTAACGTATTCGGACAGCCATGTTTTTTGTTTACATTTTGAGTTGAGGCTTTAAATAAAGGGACGCACAGGAAGTCACATACACACCGAAAAGCAGTTTACAAGTTTACAGCCTGGTACAAAAAAAAAAAAGATGAGTTATTGTCATCACGGGCACACTCTGTACGGGGTGATTTTTTTTAATAAAGCATGACCGATACATGTTATACATAGTTAGGCGTGTAGCTGACATGATTGACAGGTGGGCTCGATGTCTTAAAGCCCGCCTCAGCTCCAGCTCTCAGCCTGTCGTTAGGTTGACTGAAAGGTAGACTGAGACAGGATTTCCATCATGGCGGCTGCTGCTGATGAGCCTCCAGAGCCCCCTGCAGTGACCTCACTCAGGGTTGGTCCATTAATATTTACAGTGTATGGTTATTTAAAGGCGACTTTTAACAGAATCATTATTGACATCACAGCAGGAACAAAGGAGGATAAACAAAAAACAATTCTATATGTAAAAGACTTTTCTGATAAAAAAAAAAAAAAATCCAGCTTTCACTTCCCTTTCCTAGATCGTCACATCAGAGGCAACGGCTGATCTTTTTTCTAGCTTCCCCTGCTTCTCCTTTATGTACATGTACAGTATCTCCTCCGCTCCTCATGCTGCTCTGTTTGGTCCTTTGACATTTTCTCTGAGGTTAAGGGGTTAAATTTGTCCAAAGTGGTTAAACTCAACGAGAAGGGCAACAGGTCAAAGGTTCAGATGAGGCTGTTTCTGCAGATCTCTTCATTCCCATCCTTCCCTTCTTCAGACCAGGAGAAAGCTTTAAAATCTTTGTTTCAAATCCATTTTCATACTCTGACATTTTTCTCTTTTCTCCCCGTCAGGATCGTTGAGATCTACAGCCGTCGACTACAAGGTACAAAGGAAAAAAAAAATAACACTCTGATTCCTGTTTTAATCCACATTTTTGCGTCCAGAGTTCAGAGGTGTTGTTTGCTCTCTGCTTGATGTTTGTGCGTCCGTCTGTCTGTCCACAGTTCAGGAGAGGTTGACCAAACAGATTGCCGTGGCGATCACTGAGGCCCTGCAGCCCACCGGAGTCGGCGTCGTCATCGAGGCAACGTACGAACGTCCACTTCGATATCTGTCTCCACACACACTTCACTGATTCCATGTTTACTGTCGTTGATTTCCTTTATCTGTTCTTGTTTCCTTCACCTCGTTTCCTTCTTTCCCTTTTTCCTTTATCTGCACAAATCCGTTCCTCTCCTTCGCTTCCTTTAACCTTCCTACTTCTTATTGACACCTTTGTCCCCTTGTCCATTTTGTCTTTTGTATATTATTTACATGATCAGAGTGGATTTAGAACAAGAAACTTCACAGACATGTTTTAAAGAGCTCTTTTACTTATTGAAACTTGATGAAAAGGAGAATATGTGACCTTTAAGATGCTTTATATTTATTTTTATTTCTCTTTCTTTTGTTGTACTTCCATCTCGCCTTTTCTCATCCCCTCATTAGTTCCCTCTATGGTTTCAGCTGTTCTTTTCCTGAACCTCTCCTCCCTGTTATACTGTCAAATATTTGGCCTGTGTTACATGTAAAGTCTCTTCTTCTTTCGCCCTCCCTCTCCAACGTGTTTCTTAATTTGATTTCTTTTAAATGTTCTTTAAATCTCTCCCTCTCTCTCCCTCTCTCTCTCGCCTCTCTCTCTCTCTCTCTCTCCTCTCTCTCTGCCTCCACAGTCACATGTGTATGGTGATGCGAGGCGTTCAGAAGATGAACAGTAAAACCGTCACCAGCACCATGTTGGGAGTTTTCAGGGAAGACCCAAAAACCCGCGATGAGTTTCTGACGCTGATCAGGAGCTGAGGAGGACTGAGCTCCTTCTCTTCCTCCGCCCGATGCCTGACGTTACCTCCACCTGCGCGACCCTGTTTGTGTGTGTGTGTGTGTGTGTGTGTGTGTGTGTGAGAGAGTCGAGAGAAAGAGTGTCCGATCATTTTAATCCTCGTCGTTATCTCAGTGATGTCCGAGTCAGAGGACGATGACTGACAGGACTTTACCCCTCTTTTTTGTTTACGTCTGTTCTGTGTGATCATTAATTTAAACATCGATCTTTGGCCTCTAACTCAACGTAATTCGAGTTTAAAAGAAAGAAAGACTCCACCAAAATATACAAACATCGATTTATTGACTTGATTTATTACTTGAAAACCACTTGTGGTAATAAGCCCTTAACGTACGGGAGGGAGAGTAAAAACAAACACATTGAAAGCATGTCAGAAAGTGAGCTGTCTTTATCAGGTGTAGTCATATTTACTCGTGTTTGCTTTTAAATATGAGCACAGAGGAAATAGTCGTTTATAAAAACAGGTTTCAGAAAAGGTTAAGATAAGGTCAAAGGCCACGCATAGAAACATAAAGTAAGTAAACAAAAAGGAAATCATCCTGTCAGAGTTTTCAATCATTCAAGCTTTATGTGTACAGCGCCAAATTCATGACATTCTTCATATGGTGATTCCATTGAACTACATGTAGCATTGATGGTAAGACAAATATTCTCATTATAGCATCACATAGCGGACTCTGTTGCTTCGTCCGCTACTTCTGAGTTTTACCTCAGGAGACATGAAACATCTTCTGGTGTGCTGACTGATCAGTCTTCCTTTTGTTTCTGAACTTGAACAACAAAATCATTCATCCTCCAACAAAGACTCCACTTTGGTTCACAGCTCGCAAAGTGCAGATAAATAACTGAGTTCATGAAGCTGATTTTGTGGCTAATCGCTCCATTAGTGTAATTAGCTGCTATTTGTGGAGTTAGCCGATAAAAGGATCAAGATTTCTTTGGTCAAGTGGAGAAATATTTCAAAAACAGAGAAGCTTTTTTCACACTGAAAACAGAATAAACAATCAGCACAGATAAACATCTAAATCATCTCAGTAAGAAACTCTGAACTAAGAAGTCCTCAGCCAGATTCTCAAAGAGAAACTTGTAGAAACTTTCTGTTTGTGCAGACGTGAAATGAGAGAAATGAAGACACAATTTCACCAGAGAATTTCTTGTGTTTCTGTTAAGATAACTGAGACAACAGTAAAGTTTAAGTGGCAAGAACAAAAGTTCATTTTAAGAGGCAGAAATCTCATGATGCACAGCCATCTGCCAAAACTGCGGCAGGCTTGAAAAATGGGATCGAGGGAGATGGGAAGATGGGATCCACCAACGACCCCGAGGAACCTACAAGACATGACAGCTCAGGAGCTCCAGGGAAAAGTGAAGTTAAGCGAAGAAGTGTTTCAGTTAAAGTTTGATATTCTGACTCCTGATATTTGAGAGTTTTGACATTTCAAAGCTGTTTGAAGACCAGGAAGCTGTGATCATTTCCCTCTTTTTCAAAAGACACAACAGCTAATAGAAGAGTCATAAAAGAAGTGAAAAGCAAAGAGATATAATGACAATGACTTCAGTGTCAGCCCTTGATTTAATTTGGGAAACCCTGTTCTAAATCCTGTCCCGTTCTTCTGTGATGAGCAGCACTTTGACTCTCTGTCACACCTCAGTGACCTTTACTGTCACGTCATCTCCTCTCACTGAGGAAACAAAGTTTAGACACTCGTTGAATTCAAAGTGGACTTGATATTAAAAGCAACAAAAACAAAGATATAAATAGCTCGGGGGGGGGGGGGAATGCAGAATTTACCAATAATCATGAACAACCAGTATTCTCATTTTTTTATTTTAATATTCAAAGTTTACAATTATTCTTTAAGTTACAAGTATTCACTTTATGTGTAAGAATTGACCTGTGTGCCAACCTGCCTCTCAATTTAAAATCCTCAAAGACTTGGATCGACCTGAGACACAAAAACTGTGCGTGTGTGCGTGCGTGTGTGTGTCTGTGTGTGCGCGTTGTTTAGTGACTTTGTGTTTCTTTAGTTTTAGCATTCAACTACGTCATAATGTCCCCAGACTGATTTGAAGAACTTTTTAATCGTCTAAATTGGTTACTGGAGTCATGGGTGTGTGTGTGTGTGTGTGTTGTATATGTGTGTACGCGCGCGTGTGTGTGTGTGTTTGTTGGAGGGAAGAGGAGCACTAACAACCTGCTCTGATGATGTTTTTTGTGGCCTTGTTAAGAAGGACGGCCTGTTTCTTTGGCCCTTCAATCATAGTGACTTCATGTACTGTGTTCATTTTAAATACTTTTTAATCAAGTTGAATAAATCTCTATGTGACAGTGATCTCTGTGTGTGTGTGTCTGTGTGTGTGTGTGTTTCTTCACTTCAAACTCAAACTAATTTAACTCCGTAAAGTCCACATATTAAACCAATCGACCTGCTGTTTTAATCCTTAGTTACACCCTATAAAAACACACCTTAGACAAGCAATAATGCAATTTTTTATTTTCTTGAACTCGAGTTAAGATTTTACTTCCATTTATATAAGTAAATACTGTCTCTTTCAATAGTGGAAATAGTTCTTTAACAGTAGTACCAGGTTTTTTGTGTGTGTATGAATCAGGCTTTGTTCTCACTGCAGCCAAAAGTGACCTTAATCTGATTCTTTTGCTCCTTTGTGACTCACATCTGATTTTAAGACAGTGTGAACGGCAAAAATCACTTCATGTGGATTCTCACAGGAGTCGGATCGCGGCCACATTTAAAGGTAGCAAAGTAGCATTTCCTCAGTGCTCCGTCTAAACCCACCCCCTCCCCTCTGTGCTCCTTCAAAAGCCACGCCCCCTAACTTACCTGAGAGAGCGCCATTACTCCAGAAGCGACCTCATTTCATCTCTTACATTGAGTAGAAACTACGTCGTCTCATGTCTCATTCAGCGGTAAGTGAACTCGCAGTACAGACTCCGACATCAGTGATGAGCTTTGAGTGTGGGCAAACACAAGGGTTTGAGAACGAGCTAGGTGGGTGAATCGAAACTTGCTTTGAGTAGATATTGATAGTGGGTCGTTGTCCGGCTTTGATTGGACTGAGCACTTACGTTTCATTCTCTGAGCATCAACAGGAGAGGCAGTTGACGCGTGTCACACCCTCTGTTGATTGCAAGCTGAAAATCTGGGGCGGGATTTTCACGAAAATCCAAGTTTAAAAGAGTCTGAATGTGAAACTGCCAGCAGAACAAGCTCTGATCTGAAAACTAATAAGCTGACGCTTCAGCGTGGCCACAGAGCCCGGGCGTCCACGACTACTGCTCTGCCTTTTTCCTCTGGTCATCTGCTAAACGCAACGTGTGCTACAAAGAAATCTCTGTCATTCATGGGAACAGGAAAAGACACATCTGTCATAGACAACGAAATCTTAACAACTTGTCTCTGTTTAAGAAAGCCTCTTCTACCCACCCTTCATTTACTTTTGGCCTCTGGAACTGTCAATCTGCTGTGAATAAAACTGAATTCATCCAAGCAAATGTCAGACATTCAAAGCTAAAGACCCAGCTCTTTCATGAATACCTACTAACTTAATGACAATGGTCTCCATATTATTGATGAAGATGGTTGTGAAGACGACTTATAAGATGGTTTCTATACTGATTAGAGCTCTCAGAAATGTTGTGCTTTGCCTCTGGTCACTTCCTGTCAGCACCTGTGTGTCCAATCAGACTCAAAGCTGATCGTTTGCTCTTACTGACATTGTTCCCTTTTTTCTAGATCCTTACTTGTGTTGTACTTACTCTCTGATGTACGTCGCTTTGGATAAAAGCGTCTGCTAAGTGAATTGTAGAATTGTAGTTATGTTATATTAAGCTGAAGTAAAACATCAAGATTTATTACTTTATTTTCATGTTGTATAATTACTGTGAATGTGCAAAGTAACTTCAGCTGTCAGGTGAAGGTAGAAGAGAAGAAAGTAAAACGTTCCTCTAAAATGATTAAAGTATCAGAAAAAAGACAAACTTGAGTAAACACCTGAGTTTATTCATCTACTGTAAGTAACTTATTCAACCAGGTGGAATATGTCATTGTTATTATAGTAAGAGTCATATTACAGGAACATGGAGAAAGATCATATGTATTTAGTCTTTGTATGAATGCAGGATCTTTAAAAATGAGTATATGTTGCTACATGGTGATGATGTTCCCTCAAACAGAAGGTGATGAAGTTACCTTTTTACCCTCCAGCTGAAGATCGATCCCTGACGTCCACAGCTGTGTGTCAGAGGCCCATCACTCTCCTCCCTCTACAGCTCTCTGAAATGTAGAAAACTCATGAACAAAAAGTGAAGGCGCACTAAACCCCGGTTCCAAAACTCTGGCCCTGAGCCCAGGACATGGAGCCGATCATGGGCTGGAGTTCTGACAGAGGCATGACTCAGCAGCTCTGAAAAGAGTTTTATAACTTCACATCCATGCATTTCATTTAAACATCAACCCACAGCGTCCAGGGGAACAGACTGTACGTTCAACTCAGCCAACTCAAACAAAACCTTGAAAACGTGTTTGTGTCTGCAGTGTGTCCCTGCCGTTTGCCAGCAAACCTCAACGTTTCTGATAAACATTTGTGTTCATGTTACCTGAGCACCTGACGACATTAGCGGGGCGGCTTTTGATCAGAGGACGAGTCGGTCGTCTCTCTGGGATTCGATCCCGGCTCCTGCAGCTACATGCCCGATGTGTCCTTGAGGAAGACACTGAGCCCCAGGTTGCTCCCACTGCTTTGTCGGCAGTGTGTGAAAGTGCATGAATGAATTAGTTAATACTGATGGACACGTTACAGAAACCCCCATCAGTGTGTGAATGTGTAGATGTGACCTTCGGTGTAAAAAGCCCGATGAGTAGTCAAAAGACTAGAAAATCCCTTTGAACCATAAGATGATGTGATGAACTTAAACGCATCCCTCCATGCAGTGTTACTGTCACTGCACTTTGAGCCAGGAAAAAATTACAAATGATCCGTTTAAGAAGGCAAACATGTCACTGCATCAGTACATATTGTTCCTCCCAGTGATCCACAGGTTGTTTTTTTTGTTGGATTTTGACAAAACCTGTTTTTTTTAAATCAGTTAATTCTGTCTGTTACTTTGAGGCCCTCTAGTGGTCATAACGAGAAAGACACTGTGGCTGAAAATAGTGCATAACCCATAACCTGTATGAAGCGTTATTATTCACAGTCTATGGCATAACCCTTAATAAACACTTGATGATTTTACTTTCTGATTATAACTCAGAAAATAACCACAAAGCAGATTTCAGAGATTTAAACAGCTGACACAGTTTCTGTGAAATGATGTTCAGAGATTTTTTTCTGAGCCAGGGCATGTTTTGTCCCGCCTCAGGCCTCATCAACAGAGTGGCTCCTCCAAAGATAAGAAATATAAATGTTGGTTTGGCTTTCACAGCTAATAGACATCTGTGTGCACGTTTAATTTGATTAAATATTTTGTCCATATCGACATGTTTTTTTTGATGAATTTTACTTCCTGTTTGGTCAAAATTCAGGGCCTCATTTGATGCTCGAGGTACATCAGATGCTGAAGTTGTTTCCTATGATGCAAAATACTGACTAAAAACAACACTGTCTACCTATTAGACCTTAAGAGAAAAGCTTTAAAATCATTCTGATCACATCTTTCCATCCCTTCCTGCTGCACCCCAAACGCCCGTTCTTGCTCTTTCAGGGTTCAGTCTCCTGGCTGAGTAATGGTCAACTTTCTGGTAAAGATCCCAACACCTCCCTTCCTTGGTCATGGCTGAGCGTTCTCAGTATGGTGATCATGGCAGCTGGTGAAGAGACTGACGAGCACCTCAACTAAAAAGGGAGAAAAAAGACAAACAGACCGAGCAAGCAGAGAGATAATAAACTTAAACTTTCGGGATCAAAATCACTAAAATACTAATTCTTGCATAATGTTGCTTTAAACTGAAATCCATGTTAAACTTGCAGATCTTTGGGACACAGATGACCTAGCGGTTAGGTTGCACCCCATGTACAGAGGCTGTTGTCTTCCAAGCGGGCGTCCCAGGTTCAAGTCCGATCTGCGGGCTCTTTTCCATGCTGATCTTCAGTGCAGAGTTAAAATAAACAAATACGTAATAAAGTAAAAATAACTGTGAATCCCTTCTGCAAAAAAAGAAAATCCACACTCAAAGGGAGGAGTTACAACTTTTTTTTTTATGTATAACAGGGGCATGCCAAGTCACAGCATTCTGGTACGTCGCGACAAAATTACAGCAAGACACTTTGAAAAAAAACAAACAAAAAAAAAAACACTTGAATGTATTCAAACAAACACTCTTCACTGTCACACGCTCATTCACACCGTTTGATACAGACCACAATAACTCATAACTTCATATCAGCAATAAGAAGTACCTACAGAGTGCACACACATCAGACTGAGTTCACAGCCGCCGGTCATGTTCACACCGCCGCCGCCACGCTTCTCAAATCCAGATTTCAGTTTGACTTGAAACGTTTCCTCAACGAGAACACTTTTAAATACAGTCATGACAACTATCGTTTTGACTCTGTAGAAAGGTTGCAAAACTTTGGATCAGTCGTGACTTCTCGTTATCTGAGTCCTCTTTGTAACATCAGATCTGCACTTTCTACATAATCAGGTCACGAGGGGGGGGCGGGGGGGGGTGGGGGGGGCACAACATTTTGGCAAATTAAAAGGTTTTTAAAGGTCAAACGTTCTCGCACATCTAGGATCACTTGTCCTCTGTGGAAATAATGTAACCTGAATATTTTTTGGCATCAGCTGTGCTCGAAGGGACTGGTGATGGATTCATGTTGGGACCTTTTTTTCTGCCCAACTAGTTGTGAATAAATCACACAGCACGGACTGTACTCTGTTTGATTCAAATCGTCTGTTTGGACAGAGACGGTGCTGTGAAGAGGAATTACCCCATGGGGACAATAGTCTAAAATCTTGGAGTCATTTTTTCTTGAAGTCCTATATGTGACACTGATCGACCGAGACAAGGAGTAAATATCACTATGGGGAATTTAAGAAGTCTCCCTAAATAAAAAAATAGAAATGATCTTTAAATCCTCCTCACAGTGCTCAGCTCGGTGACATGAAACCAAAATCAAAAATATGACCAAACACACATCAAATGTTTGTGAACTAAGAGCTAAAGAACTCTCCGAGAGACGAGAGAACACTTCAAGCTGCAGCATGAACGCGACCTGACGCAGCAGTCACTAGTTTCATCCTGTAACACGACAGCTTTTTTTTTTTTTTTTTTTCAATCCATATAAAACCATTTTGACATCTGGGCTG